GCAGCATCATCGCCAGCACCAACATCATCATCATCATCACCAGCATCATCAGCATCATGATAATGATCATCATCAGCATCAGCATAACCATCATCATAAGCATCATCATCAGCATCAACATCATCATCCTCCTTATCCTCTTCCTCCTCATCATCACCATCATCACCGGCATCATCAGCATCATCACCATTAGCAGAATCATCATCAGCAGCAGCAGCGGCAGCCGAAGCAGCAGCATCACCATCACCATCTGACTACTTACCAAACCACCCCAACCCAACCCGAAGACCCGAATTTCGGGTTGGGGGGGGGTATGGGCTCCATATGTGTTTTTTCGATGTTCCCCGACCCCCCCCACACTGGAAATGGAGGGCAAATTGAGGCCTTCGGGTTGGGTTGGGGTGGTTTGGTGGGTGGTGACCATCACCATCACCATCACCATCACCATCATCATCATCATCAGCATCATCAGCATCGTCATCGGCATCATCATTAGCTTCATCATCATCAGCATCATCAGCAGCATCATCAGCAGCATCAGCTTCAGCATCAGCATCAGCTTCAGCATCAGCATCAGCATCAGCATCATCATCATCATCAGCATCATCATCATCATCATCATCATCATCATCATCATCATCATCATCATCATCATCATCATCATCATCATCATCATCATCATCATCATGGGCATCGTGATCGTCATCGTCATCGTCGTGGTCCGTAGCCAGGGTGGCTCAAGCCTGCTTGAGGCGCCGGGCGGGCGAGGTGCGCGGCATGTTGTTCTCCTTCGTCGGAGAGAACGGCTCAGCCTTCCCCTCCTGCGCGGCAATGGCAATGGCTGCGGCTGGCTGGCAGGGCCGCCCCCGCGGTGGACGAGAGGGGCCTCAAGGCGCTGCGCCTGCAGCCGCGTCGCTTCGCCCTGCAAGGCGCGCCAGGCAAGGCGCAGCGCGGATAACGCCCGCGTGGCCCCTGCACACAGCCCTCCAGCGCGTGGTGGACCTATAGCGGCAGGTCGAGCTCGCGACTGCCCAGGAAGTACAACAGACGGCGGAACTGCAGGCGGTTGCCCTGGCGGAGATTGACTCGGCCGTCCAGCAGGCCGCCGCATGCATGGACGAGCACGAGGACGGAGAGTTCCGCGCGGAATTCACAGGGCGGCTGGTGCTGGAGGCCACTGTGCTACCGGCTGGCCTGGCAGCCAAGGCAAAGAGGGGCGATCGCGACCCCAGGTGGGCAAACTGGAAGTGAGGAGGCGCAATACCGCCGCTCACGCGTTTCACACGCCCGTCGGGCTGATGGCGAAGGTGGTGGGCATGGAGCTCGACCGCCTCAAGCAGGGGGCGCGGCCTCAGCCTGCCTCCAGGCGTTGACGGCAGCCTTGCAACCGCCGCCAGTCTGGGCGCGCACGGCATCGGCGGCAGCCAGCGGCGCCTGGCCCGCACCGTCGGCTGCCCGAGGCGCGCGCGGCCTGCGACGCATTGCCGTGCATCTGGGCCGTCGTTCGCGGGCGCGGGCGCGGCCTGCCTGCTGGCGCCCGCTTCGCGCTCTCGGAGCGCGTCTGCGGCACTGGCCGCTCCATCGTCTCGGGCGAGCGACGGTGGAAGGCCGCCGCGGAGTTGGCGGAAGGGTGCGACGGGGACGAGGCAAAGGAGGCGGAGCCCTTTGCCGCAGTCGTGCACGACACCGAGCCCGAGCCCAGCTCGGCGGCGGGCGGGAACGAGGATGAGGGGGTCAGGAGCGAGGAACAGCTGGACATCCAGGAGGGCACTGACGTCCCTGAGCGTCACGACGGGTACCAGCAGCACGACTCCACGACTCACGATCACCTGCTCGCCATCGCTCGGACGTCCATTTCCCGTGCATGTTTCGGTGTCGCGCGTGTTTTTGTTTGCTCGATGGTCCAGGATGGTCCTGGATGGTCCTCGCCGAGAAAAAGATGCACACGTCCGAGCGATGCCAGGCCTGTCGCACACCGCGAAGCAGTCCAATGGTGGGCTTCAAAAACTGGTCTCGGCGGAGATCGGCCCCACTCCCGAGGATCGCGAGAAGGCATGGACGGCTGCAGTCGCCTCCGACGGCGTCGATGGCATGGGCGACAAGCTGAAGGTGGCGCAAAAAACACACACACACACACACACACAAAAAAAAACACACACACACCAAACACACACACACACACACACACACACACACACAAAACACACACACACACACAAAACATATATATACACACACACACACACACACACACACACACACACACACACACACACACACACACACACACACACGCGTCTGTGGGAAAAAACGTGTGTTTTTGTCCCACAATGTGTGTGTGCTTTTTCCCACGTGTGTGTTCTGTGTTTTTTGTTGGGTCCCAGCAGGGAGACGAGGAAGCTCTAGCTGGGGCACGGCGCGGGGACTTTGACGCGGAGGTGGGCAGGCTCAAGGACGAGATCGAGGCGGGCATGGAGGCCCCACGTGCAGCCTTGGCCTCGAGGCTGTGGGAGGCAGCCCATGCCCGCAGGCGAAGGCGGAGCTGCGATCGTGCCATTGCCAGCCTTCACCTCACTCTTCGCTTCTACGTGGGTCTCAGGGCCTGATCCTACTGGCCGCTACGGCCACCAGCTCCGGTCAATGTAGCTGCCTCGCAGCCCCTCTTGGGTGTGCGCGGCTTTCCCAAATGAGCTAGTGCTTGCACTCAGGCTCCGAGCTATTTGAGTACTCACCATGTCGAGATATTACGCTGTGCTGTTCTGGCGAGTTGCTTCTCTCACGCTGCGGCAGTAGGGCGCGGTCATCATCATCATCATCATCATCATCATCATCATCATCATCATCATCATCATCATCATCATCATCATCATCATCATCATCATCATCATCATCATTATCATTATCAGCATCAGCATCAGCATCATCATCATCAGCAGCAGCAGCATCATCAGCAGCATCAGCAGCAGCATCAGCATCAGCATCAACATCAGCAGCAACATCAAAATCAACATCACCATCAGCATCGACATCGACAGCATCAGCATCATCAGCATCAGCAGCATCATCAGCAGTATCACCACCATCAGCATCGCCATCACCATCATCATAGCATCGTCAACACCATCATCATCATCGTCACCGGCAGCGTCATCAACATCATCATTATCCTCATCATCCGCATCGCCAACATCATCAGTATCATCATCAAAACCATCATCATCGTCAGCAGCATCAACATCATCAACACCATCAGCATGAGCATCATCAGCATCGTCAGCATCCTCATAATAATCATCATCCTCATCGTCATCATCACCGTCATCACCATCATCAGTGTCATCATCGCCAGCAGCGTCATCAGCATCATCATCAACATCGTCAGCACCGTCAGCATCACCATCACAATCGTCACAATCATCACCACCACCACAGTCAGTATCTGCATCATCATGAACAGAAGCATAACAATCCTCAGCATTATCAGCGGCAGTGGCATCATCATCATCAGCAGCAGCAGCATCATCAGCATCAGCAGCAGCATCATGAGCAGCAGCATCAGAATCTGCATTACCAGCAGCAGCATCATAATCATCATCATCATCATCATCATCATCATCATCATCATCATCATCATCATCAGCAGCATAATCATCGTCGTCGGCAGCATCATCATCAGCAGCATCATCCTCATCATCGTCACAATAATCTGCATCAGCATCAGCATCAGCTTCAACATCTTCAGCCGCATCATCAGCATAATTGACTTCATCATCATTGTCATCATCATCAGCATCATCCGCAGCATCATCGTCGTCAGCATCAGTATCATCATCTTAATCATCATCATAATCAGTAGCATAATCAGCAGCAGCATCATCAGCAGCAGCATCAGCATCAGCATCAGCATCATCATCAGCATCATCAGCATCATCAGCATCAGCATCAGCATCATCATCATCATCATTATCATCAGCATCATCAGTATCATCATCATCATCATCATCATCATCATCATCATCAGCGTCATCAACATCAACATCAGCCTCATCATTACCATCATCATCATCATCATCATCATCATCATCATCATCATCATCATCATCATCAGCGTCATCAACATCAACATCAGCCTCATCATCATCATCATCATCATCATCATCATCATCATAACCATCACCATCATAATCATCACCATCATCACCATCATCATCATCATCATCGTCATCAGAATTATCATTGTCCGCAGCATCGTCATCGTCATCGTAATCATCATCATCATCAGCATCATCAACATCATCGTCATCATCATCATCACCAGCATCATCATCAGCATCACCATAATCATCATCAGCATCATCACCATCATCATCATCAGCATCATCAGCATCAGCATCATCATCATCGTTATCATCATCATCCTCATCAATATCAACAGTACCATCATCATCACCAACATAATCACCATCCTCCCCTTCACCAGCACTAGCATCATCATCAGCAGCATCATCATAAGTATCAGCATCAGCAACAGCATCATGATCATCATCAGCATCATCACCATCGGCAGCATCATCATCATCATCATCATCATCATCATCATCATCATCATCATCATCGGCAGCATCATCATCATCATCATCATCATCATCATCATCATCATCACAATCAGCATCAGCATGAGAATCAGCATCAGCATCATCATCACATACATCAGCATCATCAGCGTCATCAGCGGCAGCGTCATCATAGTCGTTATCGTCATCATCAGCAGCAGTATTATCATGAACATCATCATCATCATCAGCATCATCATCAGCAGTGTCATCATCATCGACATCATCTACATAATCAACATCATCAACAGCAGCATCATCATAATCATAATCACCCTCACCATCACTATCATCATCATCATCACCACCATCATCATCATCAGCAGCAGCAGCACCATCATCATCCCAGAACATCCATCCTCGTAATTCTCATCCACCTCCTTCAACTCCCCATCCGAACCCCCTTAATTGAAAAGTGGTTGTGTTAACACCTGGTCAGCAAGCGCAGCAGGTGATGGCTGGACGCAGGAGGGAGCAGGGCGAAGGGGGCATCCTTCTTGGAAGGTTGAGACATTCTTAGAAGGTTCGGCCCCTTCAACTGAGACGCCAAAAATCGCGCTTCGCGCTGCGCGCAACAAAAATCAAGGCTATCTTCGCGCCTCGCCCAGCCCCCTGGAGGAACCACTCATCTGCATGACAAGCAAATGCTGCATAAATATCGGAGGTCCACGTGGATGTTTGAGTTGGCGCTGGACCCCCCTCCCCGCTCAACTCCTCGAGCTTGCGAACCGCATCCGGGGCGGCGCCAGAGGCGCCGCCCAGGGATACGGGGAGGTTGGTCCAGTGCCGACCCAAAAAGTGTGAGTTTTTGTGTTGTTGTTTGGCTCACCCTTGGGGGAACAGCTACCCACCAGTGGGCGGCTTGGCTTGGGGCGGCCCGGCCGGAGCAGCCCTGGCGCCACTGCGGGCGACCCACTTCACACGCAATTGCCCTTGCGCCTTCCGAGACGCGGGGGAGGGGGCCTGGAGAGCCGTCCCCCTCGCCCTGCCCCCCACTTCCCCAGACCTCCGACGTGCCTGGTTCTGCTCGCAGCGTGCGCCCATGGACCGGACCTCCCGGCCCACCCTCCGCGGAACTGGCCCCCCGCCCCCGGTCGTTTCTGACGGCCCCAGGAGGCCGAGCAGCAACAAGAGGCAGCATGGCGAGGTAGCACCGAGAAGCTTGCAGAACCTTCTGCTCAGGACGCTCGGAGGCCTGGGCTGCGCACCGCCTTCGAAGGGGTGCTGCGCGGCCCAGGCGCAGCAGGGCGCACCGAGGACTGCCGAGGGCCGCCGAGGGGGATCCGACGGCACGCCGAGGCGGGCGGCAGTCTTTCGGCTGCCAGCCTGTCCAGCATGGGGAGGCCGCAGATTAGAGGCGAGGGCGCTGGGCAACGACTGGGGGGGGGGATCGGCGCAGGGAAGGAAGCATCGGCCTGGAATCGGCGACAGATCGCTCGGCGAAAGAGGCCCTCGGTGGCGAATCCGCACGCCCCTTGGCGGGGTGTGCCATCAGCCCCCCGTCGGCGATCAGTGGGCGATTGTGTGACGATGCATCCCCCCATGAGCCTATCCCCCCCCTGGACGTTGTCCCTGACAGCACGCCGAGACGGACGGCTGCCTTTCGGCGGCCAGCCCCGATCGGCGCAACCCCGCCGCCCAGCCTCAACAGCATGGGAAAGCGGGGAGGCCGCTGGCTAAGCACACAGCCATAAGGGCGGAAGAAGAAGTTCTGTCTGTGTTTCTGCGCCTCTGCGTCGTCGTGGGGGGGAAGGGGGTCCTTGTCGGGGGAACAGAAAAATCCGCCGACCCTGTCGGCGTGTGCGAGGGGCTTGGCTGTTCGAGTCGTCGTCTCCGTCGGTCGTCGCCTCCGTCGTCCCCTTTCCCTGCAGCTTCCTTCTCAAGCTCGTGAGCGAGAGAAAAATCTAGCAGTGTCGTAATCGAGTCGAAGGGAAGCCCCTTCCCTTTGATCCCTTCCCCAGGGGGGGGGGGGTCCCGGGGGGGGTCCCGGGGGGTGTCCCGGGGAGGGTCCCGGGGAGGGTCCCGGGGGGGGTGGGGGGGCAGATTCGTTTTTCCTCGGGCGGCCTAGAAACCTCGAAAACACTCCAAATAAGGTCCGAATGCCCAAGATGGCCCCCGAGACGGCCCAAGAGGGCCCCGAGTCGCCCAAAGATCGGCCGAAAACGCCCAAGATAGCCCCAAGACCGTCCAAGAAGCCTCCAAGACGCCCCAGGCCCCCTCCAAGAGACCCCCAGGAAGCCCCAAGAGGCCCCCACGAGGCTTCCAAGCGGCCCCTAAGAGCTTCCCAAGAGGCCCACAAACTACCCCCAAAAGGCCCCCCAGAGCGCTCGTCGTAGTCGTCGTCGTCGTCGCCATCAGGTCGGCGGCACCGGCCGTAAGGCCTCCGCATATCCCATTCACCGCTCCTCCCTGGACCTCACGCCTGGGTAGCGTCCCGGCCAGAAACGTCAGCCGATCCAACCGTGACGACGAGGGCCTCCCGGACCGCTACGAGAGAAAAGCTGTAGCCGCTACCTGTTCCCTGCTTCCTGAGGGGAACGTCATTTTTCCTTGACCCTTAGCTCCATCGGGGCTGCTCGGAGCGCGTGCACGAGAGGCGCGCTCTCTGCCTGGGCTCTTGCCAGCAATGCTGGGCATCGCTGCGCGTGCGCGAGGCGCGAGGCACGGCGCACCGCTCGCAGTGCAGTCGTCCTGTGCGGCTGCGGCGCGCTGCTCTGCCACCCCTCATCCTCCACCTCCTCCACCTCCTCCTCCTCCTCCTCCTCCTCCTCCTCCTCCTCCTCCTCCTCCTCCTCCTCCTCCTCCTCCTCCTCCTCCTCCTCTTCCTCTCCCTCCCTGTTATCATCATGGGCATTCTCATCAGATTCGTAATCAATCTCCAACAGCTCCTCATCCTCCTCCTTCTCCTCCTCCTTCTCCTCCTCATCGTCCTCCTTCTCATCATCCTCCTCTTCCTCACCATCAGCGGCATCAGCAGCATCCTCACCATCGTCATCATCAGCATCATCATGAGCAGCATCATCATCATCATCATCATCATCATTATCATCATCATCATCATCATCATCATCAGCATCATCATCATCAGCATCAGCAGCAGCATCATCATCATCATCATCATCATCATCAGCATCATCATCATCATCAGCAGCAGCAGCAACAGCAGCATCATCATCATCAGCGGCAGCATCATCAGCATCATCATCGTCAACAGCAGCATACGCAGCATTATCATCAGCAGCATAATCGGCATCATCGAGGTCGTCGTCATCATCATCAGCATCATCAGCATCGTCATTAACATCAGCATCAGCATCATCAGCATCATCAGCATCAGCAGTATCACCATCATCACCATAGCCATCATCATCATCATCATCATCAGCAGCATCATCATCATCATCATCATCATCATCAGAATCATCATCATCATCATCATCAGCATCATCATCATTGTCATCATCATCCTTATCAGCATCATCATCATCAGCATCATCATCATCACAATCATCATCGTCATCATCACCAGCATCATCAGCATCAAAAACAACAGCAGAATCAGCATCATCAGCATCAGCATCAGCAACATCACCATCAGCGATGTAGAAATCATCCACCATCTATCATTCACCACCCATCATCATCAACATCGCCCCCATCATGTGAGTCAGCATCCTCTTCATCACCATCATCAGCCACCATCGTCGTTAGTAGCATCAGCAGAATCAGCATCATCATCAGCAGCAGCAGCATCAGCATCAGCGCCATCATCAGCATCATGATCATCAGCAGCATAATCAACAACATCATCAGCATTATCAGATTAATCGCCATAAACATCACCATCATCAGCATCATCAGCAGTAGCATCACCACCACCCATCAGCATCATCATCAGCAGCAGCATCACCATCACGATCATCATCCTCACCCTCATCGAACTCATCATCAGTGACATCGTCATCGACAGCAGCAGCATCAGCATAAACATTAACATCCCCATCCTCAGCAGCAATAGCAGAGCCATGGTCATCATACTCATCAGCCTCAACATCAGCATCACCTTTATCATCATAAGCTGCAGCACTTCATCACCACCACCACCAACAGCATCAGCATCAGTATCATCGTCATCAGCATCCGCATCAGCATCATCAGCATCAGCATCAGCATCAGCAGCACAACCAACCTCGTCCTCCTCGCCCTCCTCACTTGAGTAGGATTTGGGGGTCAGGTTTGCAGAACACCCAAAACGGACGTCAAAGGGCGCAACCGGCCAGTTCGGTCAAGCTGAAACTACTACACCACACCTGGCGTCAAGCCAAAGTAGTGGACATGCGCGAACGGTTGGATGTTGACCATCTTCGCCAACCGACGAGGCGTGTGACCACCTCGACGTCTCGTTCTGCGCTCTCTGACCCTCGGCCCTGCTCAACGCCTCATCCACGTCGTCGCCCTCCTCATCCTCCTCCTCCTCCTCCTCCTCCTCCTCCTCCTCCTCCTCCTCCTCCTCCTC